TCCACATACCGAGGAGAAGGCTCCCATGACCCCTTCACTCTCGGAGAAGCCACTGTCCTCCATGACCACTAACCCCTGACTCAAGTCCCCGTGTCCCATCTGTCTGCACCCACTTTGCACCTAGCAGGACCTTGTATCTCACAGGAGCTGATGACGTGGTGATGGAGACTACCATTTATTGCAGACCCAAAATACAATGTTCTCAGACTTGGCAGTCACTTGGATGAAAGCACGTTGCTATTCCAAACAGTCTCCAGTCAAAGCAATAAGAGCAGATTTCACAAAATCACAAGCTGGGTCGATTGTCCTCTTTTCCACTCACCAGGATCCTCAAACACTCACCCTTCCAAGAGCTTTTTAAGTGTTTTTATTTTTTTTTTTTAAGGAGACATAAACCCATTGGTTCCTTGAGCTTCAAAAATAAATTAGCAAAATGTTTAGATCCACTGACCCTAATAAGTTTTCTTTCCTCTAAGGAATGATATTCATAATAGAGATAATTGCTGATACCCCTAAGTGATTCACTTACGTACAGTGATTAGAAAGTACTGTGTATGATATTTTCAATTTCTGCAAGTCTAGTATTAAGATCACAAAAAAAGTTGAATTTTTTTTAACTGTTCTTGCAGGTCTAACCATGGAGCAAATGCCATGTTCTGCTACTCTGAGACAAATTTAAGTTGTGGCATTAATTACTGTTAATAGGATACAGCTATTAACTCCCTGAAATACTTTACGGTCAGCTTCACAATGATAGGAGCTGCCTTGTAGAAACACGGACACCACGTTCAGTCTCAGGAGATAGTAGTTAACCACAGAGAAAGTGTGGACAAGTGACTTATTTCTCTGCACCTCTAAAATGGAGAGGCTAATAATAGATAGCTCCCATAGTTCTTAGAGGAATTAAATACCCTGAGAGTACTTAGTAAACTGTAGAGTGCTTCATAAATGTGAGTTACTATTCACTCTGTTCATAAAGATGTCGTCTGCTAGAGTGGGAAGGTGCTCAGAGACCATCGCCCCCATAACTTGTGGTTACACTAGAGGAAATTGAGCCCATAGTGGCCGTTACTGGGTAGAGATGAAGAATCAAAGACCCATTCTCTTTCTATACTACACAGAAGTGCAAAGCTAACTTCCCAGAAGACAAATGTTGCTAGTGGACTAATATTTCTAATCCAGGCACACTGTTTTGGGTAGAATTATAAACAGTTTTCCCCCAAAAGAAACGCTGAAGCCCTAATCCTCTGCATCATAGAAGGTGAGCTCATGAGGACATAGGCACACAGTTCAGTTCTAAGCTTATTTTTCATGTGCTCCATTTATTCTCTGCCTACATAGATAAAATGATGGATATGATTTAACAAAGTTTGTAATACCGATAGAACACACAATAATTCTTAAATTAATCAATAAAAATCTAATATGACAAGAGAAATGGGAGAATATTTAAACAATCAGAATGACAGATAACTGGAAATTATAGAAACTTCTACAACAAACATATTTAAGTTTCCAGGAAACTTAGACCAAAAGAAAAGTAGGATATATTTTAATAATATTACAATCCCACCTCCAATTTATTTCTACTATTTTGTACTTTGGGGATTATATTATTCTCACAATAACCTTTGTGCTATGTACTATTATACCCATTTGCAGAAAAGAAAACTGAGAGTAAGATTTTATGATTTGCTCAAGATCATAAAAATATTAAGTCATGGCTCCCAGAAGTCTCAGCTCTCTGCTTCTAATGCTATTAATGAGCCATATAAAGAAGGATCTCCATGATATACAACTACATGAACACTAGGGGTTTGTAGGGGGGGAGGAGAAATTTAAGAGGTGGCAGAATCCAGTTTTCCTGCTGGTTAGCTTCCTCTCGTTTCTGTACCAAATAAGCACCAACTTAATGGCTTAAGGCAATATAAGTCATCTTCCTGCTTTATGGCCAGGAACATGGCTCCACATTCAAAGAAGGGACTCTAAGTCAAGTCCTTTTCATATTTCTACCTCTAAGGTTATCTCACTCTGCTACCCTTTTGCACATCCAAACACCCTTGTGATTACACTGGGCCTATTCAAATACCCCAAGTAACCTTTGGATTGCAATGTAAACTGATTGACACCTTAATGCCATTGGTAACCTCATGCCATGCCAACCTCAGGTTCACAGGTTCTAGAGACTAGGAATGTGGACATCTCTGGGTAGGGGGGGGGACATTACTCTGCATGCCATATCTGCTGTATTTCAGGGCAGGAGTTTTAGTCCTTGGACATGCTCAGGGAAATCACACCTTTGTAGTTTTCATGGACCACATGCTTTGCCTCTAATGTTAGCTGGCTAATACTGCCAAGGTCTAAAAAGAATCAGCATGATAGGCCCTCCCTGGTGACCCAACGGACAAGGACGCAGCACTGCAAGCTAGCCGCATCTGTTTCAGCATGAGTTCGATCCCTGGCCCCGGAGGTGATCCACATGGCGCAGCAGACCTCTGTTGACACACCCGCTGCTCCCCTCAGCAGTGTACTTCAACAATCTGCATGACCCGCTCCCCACTCTGTCTCTGGTGAATCCTCTCACCACCCCTGCACCTCTGGCTTATACCCCCACAAATGCACAAATAAATCTTTAAAAAAAAAAAAAAAGGAATCAACATGGCAGTGGAATTTGGGGGGGCAAAGATCCTAGAAGGAGCTTCTAAGTCACTTTTATGGAATAAAGCAAGGATACACTACTGGTTAATGGCTTAACTCAGTCATCCATGCATGATGCCACCCCACTTCAGGAATTGACCCCAAAAAGATGGAATTTATGGGCATCTAAATTTTTATTTGCTTGCCAAAGACAATGTCCTCCAGCCAAGGTAGAAGAATAAATATAATGACCCCCCAAAGATTACTGCTTATCAGCATATATCTTTTCTTCTCACCCAAAACAATGCTACGCACTCACTGAATCACTTCCTTTTTAACATGTTGTCAGTTCACTTTAACAGTCTCAGTGGCTTCCAAGAGAAAACCCCATAATACTGTTTACTGATACACTAGAAAATGTGTCCATGATCCCAATGTTGGAATTAAAATTTTGAGAGCCTCCCTGGTGGCCTAGGGATTAAGTCTCAGTGCTATTTCCGCTACTTCCTGAGAAGGTACTGACCCACATGGCACAGCAGACCGGCCCCTCCTGTCTCCCCCGCTGCTTCCCTCAGCAGTGAGTTTCAGTCCAACTATTCTGCTCCCCACTCTGTCTCTGGTGAAGCCTTCCACCCACTGCACCTCTGACTTACACCTCAGTTTTTCTACGCAAATCTTTAAAAGCTCACATTTTACCTTCTGCTCCCCCACGCTTACTGCTGACTGGCTGACTGACAGGCCTGACAAGCAGAAATGCCAGGCTCAGGTGAGGCAACTTAGAAAAGAGAAGAAATGGTCTTTAAATGAGGTATTTAATCTCACATGATTAACATTAAGGGCAAATTTGTGTGCAGGGAGATCATGTGATGAAGCGAAAAGTAGATTAGGTGAATGGAAATGAATTATTGCTATCCCTAATTATCTTGAAGTCAGCCCTAATTAAAATTGAACTTAAAATCTGAAGCCATGAGAATGTATTGGGCAAACATTTTAAGTGAAAGTTAAGAAACTTTGAATGTGAATGCTTATGAGAAATCAAAGAACTACATTAATAACCCTGTAGATGCATGGTGATTAATTTGGCATGTATTTACACAAGTCACCATAAAATTTAACTTAACTACCCACTTATTCTCTATCTCGTCTTTGTAGAGGTATTTAGAGTGTGGAGAGGCCCAATAGATGCTGGTGGAGGACTCTGGGTGCCTGGGCAGGGTGAGTTGTGGTGACATGTACCTGAAGGCTGTGAGCCTGTATTCCTGAATCATATATAGTGTTATAAGCTAATGTGACCTCAAAAAAATTTCTACAATATAAATCTGTTGGTTAAGAAGAGTAAGTTTTTCTGTAGTATTAAAACATTTGTTTTCATATTTCTAAATATTTTTCACTATGACCTTTATCACAGTATAAATGTTTGTCATGAGAGGCTGCATGTGTTGAGATAATTGTTCTAAGCTGCGAACTGTATTTACCATAAGGGGTTAGTCTACTCACCAATCTTGTGATAATTAATTTGCCAACCATAACCTCACTGAATTAGCTCTAATTAACTCAAGGGGTGAAAAGGATGCAGATTCTCTAAAAATTAGAGAATGGCTAAAGGCCATCCTTCTCATAAATACTTATTCAAGAATCTGTGGCCAAGCTTCTCAAACTTTCTTACTTATTAGAATTATCTGAGGAGCTTAACAAAATTATGGCCAGGCAAGTGAGTAAATCAGAATCTCCAATGGCCCAGGAATGGGCCCTGTTAAAACTCCCCAGGTGATTCCAATGAGCAGATACGGTTGTGTGATCTGTGTCACGCTGGTCTTGCTTGAGGCAGAATCCCAGGCCACATCTCTGTTCAACTGAATCAAAATCTGCATTTGACCACATCCCCAGATGGCCCTCAAGCACATTAAAGTTTGAGACACATTGAGCTCTGCTCCATGCTGCAAACTGAGGACACCTAGGAGCCAGCGCGAGAACTCGTAACCAGTTCCACAACTTACTCCAATTATGTCTCTTCCTTAAGCCTCCTTTAAGTGATAACTGAGAGTGCCTTTTGTGTTCTGAAATTCTAAGATCTTATTAAGTTACTTGACCGCGCTGTATTCTTTTCAGGTGTGAACTGCCTCTCCATTTTCAAATTCAGGCCACTAAAATGATCCAGCTGACTGGAGGAGAACACCCCACAGCCCCACGCTGGCCAGGAGGCATTCACTTTCACTGCGGCTGGTCCTCCTTCCATTTTCAAGGGCCCACAGATGATGTTTTTTTGGAACAAGTCCATTGAATTTTCAACTCTGTGTTCTTTACCTGAAGACATGCTTTCAAATAAAAAAGACAACATTCAAATATTATGGCTTGACACTTACCTGGCAGAGGAGAGACCATGACCACAAAGGTGGTTTTCCCAGGGCAAGACTTATCCAGTTGTACTGGCCCCTGTGATTTCTCCAAATGTGGAAAACTTGGCTGCGTAATTTGTGGTAGTGGGGGATGGCATTCTTGCTTTCCCCTGAAAAAAAAGAAAAAAGAAAAACACAAATATTATGACTTGATTAAAAAAGGATATCATTGGCTCCCAGAGCTTGTTTCTGCAACCTCTCTCATTCCTTGCCACTTCATAAGGTGCCTTCTGGAAGCATCAATGGTGTGTTGTCTCCAAGGACACAGTCTGCCCATGTGGGTGGAAGAGGAGATGCTCTCCAGGAGCCCACCCCTCCCCCAGGTGCTGCTGGAGTAAAAATTGCCTGGAAATGGGGCTCAAGGGAGCCCCGTTGTCTGGGATTTCCCATGTCCCAGCTATATGACTTTGAGGAGTTGACTAATAATGACTGTGCCTATCTCCCCCTCTACCACCTGACTAGACTGGATGGATTCCATTTCTGACATCTTGAGTCAGACTCCATTCTCTATAGGAGCACTGCTGTTGTATAGATGTGTCAAATTCTTTACAATGAGCTGAGGAACTGTTGGGGCGGCAGCCCAAGGTGGGCAGGTTCATTGTGGATTCAGGCAGATAAAGGAACCTTGGAGCCCTGGGTCGATCTGACAGACCTTTATTGCTAAAGCAGGGAACTGGACACATAAGCAGACCCGCATTGGGCAGGGAGGCAGGCCTGAGGGAGGCGGAGGGGCAGGGGGCAAGGAGCCTGAGAGGCAGGCAGCAACTGAGACCCCCAGCCCCTGAGATCTCCATGCTGTTTTAGCTTCTCTATCGTCTGCTCTTCAAATCTCTTGTTCCAGGAGTCTGCACTTATAGGCATACGTGCCCTCCAGCTATTGGCCTGGTTGTTCATGCTCACAGTTGTATGTGCCCTGTGCTCACAATTCTCAGCCTCAAGTGTCCATGCATGCCCCATGCTCATGCCTCCAAGCACTTTTGCACGAACATGATACCACACGTGGGCAATGAAAGCTGGGGGGGGAAGCGAGGCCGCAGCTGGCAGCACAGTCTAGCAGTGGGAGGGCGTAAACACACCTGGGCCACTCCAGCTTCCCTCTAGGGCCAAACTGATATCTAGGTAGAATTGAAAGTGTAAATTCTTTAGGTTTTGCCTGTGCTTTGCAGAAATTGCCATTTCCCTCCAAGGAAGACCAGTGTATCTTGGTTATACGTAATAGATTAATGTGAACAGAAGATGGATGAACTGGAACACTATTTAGTACTCACACAATGAATACCCCATGGAGCCACAGGTGTGAGGGAAGGAAGGCTGACAGTGGCGGGAGCAGGTGTCAGGGAGTGTGAACCATATGTTCATGCAATTTATTTGCATTTTAGGGCCTGCATGGGATTGCTCTCAGACACCACGAGATGATGAGTGGTCTTTATCAGTCAGGACAATTGGTGCTAGTTGATGTTAACCAACAGACCCAGATTTCAGAGTCTGGTGTGGATTGGAGGTTTCCATCCAAACAGTGTCACACCATCTGGACCCAGTCCATCCATCTGCAACTCAGCCGCATGAGGTCCTTTACTTCAGCCCACAGACAGAGGAACCCACATGTACAAAAGGGGGGGGGGTGTCACATGTTACTGCATACACTACTTTAACCCATATCCTGGTTCCAATCAAACTGCAAAAATGACTGCTGAATATAAACTTCTTGATGCTCCAAAAGAAGCAGCAGGGGAGGGAAGCATGTGGGCAGGCTTGTCACAGCTCTGAGCAGGCCATCTACTACCAAGCGAGTAGTGGATACCCCGTTCTCTGTGAGCAGCCGAGGTCCATCACCACTGGAGTCTCGTGGACAAGAACGAACTCAGTGTCTACTCAAGAACAACTAATGGGTTAGGAAGTTTTTGCTCAAAAGTTAGCAATGGAAAGAGCACTGTTTAATCTCAAAATTGCTCTGCTCTTACTCTTACCCAGTTGCCAGTGACTACAGAAGGAGCTGCTTAAGGGAACAAGACAGTCATTTCACCTCAGCCAAGAAAACCAAACAGGGGTCAGACAAGACAAACTTTAAAACCAATCCTTGACGGCTGACCACAGACCTGTGTCTTTCAGAGGAGGTACAGTGTGGGAGCAGCAACGCAAGTATAGTACAGTACCCCTCCTTATCCCACCTCCTCACACAAATTATAGAAAGTTTTTAGCCCCCTCTTATCCCACCTCCTCACACAAATTATAGAAAGTCTATGAGCATGACAATCACAAAAACAGATGTTCAGCCTACCACCTGAGCAGTGAATTTATCAATCTGATTATGTCATTCTTTCTTTAAATTATTCTGTGGTATCAGAAACAGCCAAACTCACAGCTTTTAAATCCTTCATGATCTCTCTGTTGCTCTACAACAGTAGCAATTCATAAGCCTGAGATCTTTGTTTTTGGTGGACACTTGATCTCAGGTAAAATCATGCAATGATTTTTACCAGATTTATTGAGGTATAATTGACATACTGCAAGTATCCAGACTCTAGACTTTGATGAACTTCTGAGATATAACACATCCTTGAAACCATGAATCCAGTCCAGATGATGAATGTGTCCATCATTTCCAAGAGTCTCCAGAAGTCAGTTTCCTACCTCGCCCGCAAACCCCCCACCCCTAGACCACCACTGATCTACTTCATGCAGTGTAGATTAGTTTACATTTCTTTGAGTTTTATAGAAATGGAACCACATGGCATGTAATCTTTTCTTATCTCTTTTCTCTCCTTCAGTGTGATTTTGTGATTCACTCATGTAGTAGCAGGTATCAATAGCTCATGTTTACTGCTGGGTTGTGTTCTACTATGTGAGTACAACATTATTTGTTTATCTGTTCACTTACCAGCCATTTGGGTTATTTGCACATGTGTGGCTATTACAAATAAAGCTGTTTTTTGCATTTATGTAAAACCTTTGCAGAATATGTGCTTGCATTTGTCTTGGGTGAATACCTAGTAAAGGAGTGACTGCATCACGTTGGGGCTGCTGAAATCTATCAGGACCTCCCTAGCCATTTCCATATGACTGCTCCACTTTAAGTTCTCCTAGCAGATAAGCAGGTTCCACATTCTCTACATTCTCACCTACATTCAGAGTTCAGCAAACCCAAGACTAATAACTCAAGGTTGATTTGATTCTGTTACAGGACAATCGCAAAATGAAAGGGGGTGGCCCGAGTATGGGTCCTCACCCTTTCACTTAAAGGGATTTATAATGAGACTTAACTGCAGACACACACAGAAAGGCTCATAAAGGGTTTATTTACAAAAAAGAGAAATGAAAAAGAGGAATAATCCAGGGAAAAAGAAAGACAGAGAGAATTTGGCGAGTGCGTCCTACCAGCGCCACTGAGTTGGACACCAAGAGCATGCTGAAGCTTGGTGGAAAACCATTAGCCAAGGCCCACAGGTCTGGCTGCTAACCCCACCTCAATTCCCAGCCCCTCCCTTGGAGGT